TGTTAAACCTAACCTCTATCCTTTGTGGTGAATCATTTCCTTTAAATTCTGCTCCATCCATCACCTTTCTGTCTGTTTCCTCCTGTTTCCATTTGCCCGGCTTTTTGTCCTCTTCTGTACCTGTCCATTCAATTCATGTATATCTATCTCCTCAACAGTCTTTCTCAGAGCACCATTTGTATATATCTCTAGTCCCAGTTTGACTTTTCTTATTTTATTTAGGGCACACACACTGCTGTTTTGAAGCATTTTAGCTGGTTTAAGCTAGTTGGTGGCTGGTCCAAGCTGATTAACTGGCACAGGATGATGATTAGCTAGCTAGTTCAAGCTGGTAGACCATCTTGGACCACCAACAAACCATCTTGGTCAAACCAGCTTGGTTATGCTTGTTTTTGGAACAAGATTACTGGTCAGTCTGCTAACCCTTACGTTTAATGAACGGCTTGGACCAGCTAGAAACCAGCCACCAGTTTCCGAAACACAACTAGCATCTTAGTTTATTAATATATATATTTTTTCCCCATCAGGGCATGATTCAAAATTGCCTGCAAATGTCAAGTGCTTTGTAATACTATGCTAAATTAATGTGAAGTGCATTTTATGCCTGACCGTCAAATAGGCTAGCTTGTTTTTAACATGCCTTTTCAAACATAAGTGCTTTCTGAGCCTTTCTCAACATGAATAATTACCCATCATAATCAAAGTTATATGTGCTGGTTGACAAATAAAAATAAAATAAAACAAACATGACTGTCCTGCAGATGCTAGCATTAGCTTGAAAGGGGGAACTCTATGGTGATTTCAACTTCACTGCCAGTTCAGGATGTGGACTACACAGCTTGATGTAATACAGTGTGAAAGACTGTCTACTGAAGACCAAGCTCTTTATGAAAAGTCACATTTCATTTATAGAGGATGATCATAAAGAAGAAAGTCACTTCGGGATACAGCACTTTATCCACTTGTTACACCAACACTCTTTCTTATTGCTCCTACACTGCAGTCCAGCCATGCCTTTCATAGGTTGTCCCCACACAAATGGATGTGGAGGCCCAGGTCGGATGTTGCTACGTGAGATGCTTTGGCAGCTGGAGCAAAGAGTACATCAGGTTCAAGAGGAGGAGTTTCAGTACTGCATCTCCCGTGGTATTCTGGGATACCGTCACCCCCCAGCATACCCAAGCCTGCTTGCCCTTATACCTGCTTCTGAACACCGCCAGCTAGAGCGCCTCTGTGGTCGCATCCCACCCTCACACACTGCCATTGTACTTTCCAGGTAAAAAAGGTCTCTCAGTTTTGCCTTGCTTGCTTCACTTTCTACATATTGTTCAAATGTTCTTTAAATCCTATATAAATGCTCTAAAATGGTCTTCGAATGCTCTAAAAATCTGTCTTCTTTAATGGCTGACATTCACTATTTTAAAAATAAAGAATGAACATTCTATCATATCAGTTTAAAAACATGAGGGTGAGTAATAATGACAGAATTTTTAAATGATAGAACATTCATTTTTAGGTGAATAGCCCTTTAAGTAAGTACACAAGAATTTGACTGCAGATTTTAGAAGCCAAAAAATTGTGCTGAATTATTTTCATGATTTTGTCTATTTGTGCGCTCCAGACAGATGTAGGGATTTTTACGTGACACTTTGTGCATGTAACATGATTATGCCAGTAGGTGGCGACAAATGACTTTAACTTGAGTCATTTGAATCAATTGCTCAAATGATGCGTGCAAACACACTGATTTATTCTTGTCTCTGAAGTGACTGTCTTTATTAGTTAGTCATTGAATCATTCACTCAACCAATTAATTCAAACACCTTAATTCATTCAGAGAAGATAAATCAATACTGTATGTTACTCGGAGATGGTTGCAAAGTGAAAATAAACAAAACAGTCTAAAATGAAAATTGCTTAATAGATTTTATGGCCACAAACTAAGAATTTTTGTTCCCCAGACTTCATGATTTGTTGCCATACTTTACTAATTTGTTCCCTCATTTTAGGTAAATCGTGGCCACATTGTACTAATTAGTTCCCTTGTTTTAATTTAGTGAAATCTTGTCCAGGATTTAACTAAAAGGAAGGAAAAAAATAATTAGATAAGGGAACAAATTCTTACTCAGTGGCCACAGTATCTTGTTTTATTTTATTTTTTTCCCACGTCATGTGCAGAGCTCTGTATGAAAACATTACTCACTCACAATTATGCTGTTAAACTAAATATCAGCACAGCTGTGATTACTGTGCTTGTGTGATATTGCTTTAATATTTTACTAAACATTTTATTGTGCTCCATCAAGGCTTCATGATCTTTTGGCCCACAATGACATTCCTCCCTGGGAACTGGTGGGTGTCTTCAAGCAAGTTCTTAGAGACTTCCTGAGGAGACAGGAAGACGGCATACAGAGACATCCAGCCCCTTCAGCTCCATCAACAATTCTTTCTGCTCCGAGTCCACCTACAGAGAGTAATGACAGAAATCCTATTGTTGGAAATGCATCTAATTCTTTATCAGAGGAGACAGGAAAGCACAGGGAGGAAATTCCTACTATTTCTAGTTATGTGGATAAACATTTGCGTGCCGCCTGCCCCTACTCTATCCACAGAGATTGGAGTCTGCCCTTTTGCCCTTTTGCTTATGAGGCCTACAGCACCACATTGTGAGACACTTAATTGTAGAAGTCCAACACCTTCTCATGGCAATTCATAACAATTTTATGTTTTGTCAAATTAGTGGCTAATTCTTAAGAATTTGTACAATCTGATTTGTATGTTTTTGTATGATCTGCTTGCATCCCATAGATGGTTACTTTTATAGTAATACTTTAATGTACTAATGATAATGCATTTTCATACAAATCACCACCTATAAATTCATATGAAATCGCCACCTCATTGTTTCCTCGTGAGATTGGCTTGAAAAGTCAATGCAACCATTTTCTGTCTTTCCAGTTTGAAAAATCTAATCCTCTGCTCCAGTTAATTAGAATAATTTAAAGTAATTAACATGAGGATGTATTATGTGATGTTAAAACTTGGAAGATGAGCCATAATCTTTTTGTAATTGATCGATAAGATGAAAAAAAAAAAGGATTTTTTATGACATGAAGTAGCTACTTTTTCAATAAAAAAAATTGTCAACATACACTCTTAAAAATAAAGGTGCTTCAAAAGGTTCTTCAAGCGATGCCATAGAAGAACCATTTTTGGTTCCCCAAAGAACCATTCAGTCAAAGGTTCTTTAAAGAACCATCTCTTTCTTACCTTTTTGTAATCTGAAGAACCTTCTTTCGCCACAAAGAACCTTTTGTGAAACAGAAAGGTTCTTCAGATGTTAAAGGTTCTTTATGGAACCATTTAGACAAAAAGGTTCTTCTATGGCATCGTGAAGCACCTTTATTTGTAAGAGTGTAATAATCATTTTTAAAAATGTATTATATAAATATTATTATCATTATTATTATTAAATTGTATCTAGTTATAGATATATAAAGACTACTTTTTAATTGTTTTATGGTGTTTATTTTTTTCTTTTTTTTTTTGCCATTTTTGGAGCTTGACAACTACTGGTTACTATGAACTGTTAACAAGAACTGCATAATGATTCTTCAAAAAATTTTCATTCTGATATTTTAATGTCTTTAGAACTATTCCTTTAATGTTATTGTCTAAACTAACATTTGCCTTTGCATTTGTGCCCATTTGTTTCTAATTACAGTAACGTCTTTTTTTGTGATGTAGCTTTCCAGAGTACACAGCTAATGACTGATCAAACTAAAAGTAGCACACACACATAAGCACATACACCCAGAGCAGTCAACCCAGATATCCAACCTAATCTGTAATTTTTTACAGAGTTATATTTCTGGATTACAGAGCAGAGATTAGCCTGAGGGGAGAGGATTGCACCACTGCCTTTGTGCATCAGTGGTCCTGCTTGCTGCATGTACCCATGAACTACCAACAATAGCACTCTCACCTCTCCCATGCTTTTTTGATAACAGTTAAAATCTTTACTTGTCTTTTATCATATAGTGACAGAACTGTGTTTATCATGTAGCATGGACTGAAAGTGGCAAACAAAGTATAGGTTTGGTAATTATCTCTTGACTGCGGAATAACTGTAGGGCTAGATAAAGTGAAGTTCTCTTCTGTGGAGTGTTTGTTACCACAAAAGCCTGCAGATGCAAAACCAAATATAGTATATATAGCATAAATATTGTCTTATCACATTTTCTGCTTATACTTTTGTTGTTACATCTTCTACAGAAAAAAAGAAAAAAATACTGATACTTTTGTGTAACAAGCTTAGTTTGCTTCTGTGAACACTGCAAGCATTATTGTTCTCTCCATGTACATTGTCAGTGAAAATTAAATTTGAACAAAACCTAATTTGTATTTTTATAGTAATTATTTCTCACACCAGTGTTGCCAAGTCAATTTTTATAAGTGACTTTGGTCTTGTTTTTCAGACCAGGTTGCTTCTAGCATCTCACATTCTTTGGTTTTTATCCTCTCGTTCTGATTTTTTAAAACTTTTTTGATATAATATACAAAGAAAATATAACGTATCTATCTATCTATCTATCTATCTATCTATCTATCTATCTACCTATAGCTACTTTTAGAGCAAAGTAAGAGACTGTGTGGTGCTAATGTTTTTATAAAATGCTAATATTTAATTTAAATTAATTTTCATCCATTTAAAAATCTCATTTTAAGTCTGTCTAAAGGAGACACAATGAGGACAATGAAAAATACATTTAAAGGGGTCATATGATGCGATTTCAATTTTTCTCAGACCGATGAGCTTTGTAAAAATCGACGCGTTTCAGAAAGGCGGGGCATAGAGGAGAAACAATAATGTACAGTATGTGGAAAATAATGTGTTTTTTGAACCTTAAACCGCATAAACACATTTCATTACACCAAATACACAAAATAATGTTCTTTTTACGCGGACTTTTATTTTGGTGCCGGTGCTTTTAATTACAAAGCGGAAACCTACATAGATCTTCCGCTGTCTCCCCGAACTGAGCTAGCGCTGAACAGTGACCTTCTCCGAGTGGTCCAGTGCACTTACATTCTAGAGGTGAGAATGTTTTCTTATGATAAATTTTATATGTTTTCATTTGGCATATTTTAAATAATCACTGACTATTTCAAGAAGATTCCCTGTCTTTTAAACCATTATTTGTTTCGCACATTGATCTGTAAATGACAAGGCCTTGCTGAGCGCCTTAAATGAATCAACATTGGTTAATGACTTAAGCTTGACGCCTGAATGGTCCACATGAATCGAGGCGTGTGTTTTTTTCCACAGCCTCTGCGGGAATTTTGTTTCTATATTAGACGGTGAAAAGAGCTGTTGTTCCTTTCGCCTTCCAAGAGACGCGTTATCTTTAAACTCAACCGAGCTTGGCATGAATGCGTGTTATACTCTGACAGTGAAATACTGAGAATGTTTTTGCACTTTTTTGGTTACTGTCTTAAAGACTCCTTATATTCAAGTCTAATAGTGTTCTTTTTTTTTTATTCACGAACTGGTCCTTGAATGTTTGAGTAAGTCCTTGAAAGTACTGTTTGTGTCGTGTTACTCTGTAGTTTATTCTAATAACGTGGCACGTATAACAATTGCATGTTCAAACGTACCATACGGAGCTCCGCACCTGACATGCAAGAAAAAAATTAATAAATCGTGCGCATTATTTACTAATTCGTTCCCTCGATGTACTAAAACGTGCACACGATTACTATTTCGTTCCCTCGATTTGCTAAATCGTGCGCACAATTTATAAATCGTGGGAACGAAATGGTTAATCGTGCGCACGATTTAGCCTACTATTTTTTTTTCCCTGCATGTCATGTGCGGGGCTCCGTAGTGGTAAATTAATGTTACATGGTTTTTGACGCCTTTTAGACAAATGTTCATGCATCTTTATGTTGTGATCACTAGATGGCAGGTGGTGCATTCGCTGGCTGGTGGACTAAGGTGGCCCCCTACTACACCAAAGCATACCAGGAGATGTGGGTTGGTGTAGGAATCATGACTTTCATGTACTACAAACTATCATATGGAGGTGAGATGTCAAGTTTAAGAGCTCTGTAGTAGTGTGCATGCTGTCTAAATGTCATAAACCCTTATTCATTTTATGGTGCACATTTTTCTTGCCATTCAATTTTGTATCTTCTGGGCATTGCCCATATTCATAGACCGTTTGTTACACAATATTTTAGAAACCAAAACGTTTGGTGTTGTGTAAAAGGCTACATACTTGATTTTAAGAGCTTGTTAATGTTATTATTAAATTAGTAACAATAATATTGCTGTTTTGCAGGAAAGAAGAAAGCAGTGCAGTCAAGTAAGTGTAAGCCGTTTTGGTGTTATGATTTTTACTCAAACTTTGGTGAAACATGGAAAGTTTAAACTTTCATAAGAAAGTATTTTAACAGTTTTCAAAGCAAAAGTGAAAAGGTCTAAACCAGAGGCTTCCAAACTTCGCTCCGCAAGGGAGTTTTAGGTGTTAGGTAGGAAAAGTTAAAAAAAAATTTTGTTTAAATCATAAAAAATAAGATTAATTTGAATAAATGAATACATCTAACAGTACAGTATTATGGTGAGTAGAAACAAATGTAAAGTAACACAACAGAAACTATATATTTTCAGAATAATATTTTACACATTTGTAAAAACTTTTCACAGTATAAATGAGGGTTATTTTAACTTTCATATTCTGTAAAACAGGTTGTCACTTCAGATTCAGTTTTTTTTTTAATGTGCTTCATTAAATATGGAGCTGTTTTACTCAAGATGCCTTCAAAGGAGATACCAAATATCATAACCAGTGCATATGCAGATTGATAACAAATTTTTTTCTAACGTTCTAACATTCTGATATTAAAATAGCTGTTTACCTTAAAAGGTCTGTAGATATCGTCATCAGGTCATAATGCTGTTATCACATCAGCTTGTCGGATAAAGTGTTGAGACCTGTTTTCTAGTTTGGTCAGGTGATGTTCGACACATACCCCATTAGTGCTTTATATATGAAAATATATAGCTGTCTTTTAAATTTTAGGATGGGCTTCCTCTGCGCAAGAATGATCATATTTGAGACATTGGGGTTTGAAAGTCCCTGGTTTAAAAGATAAAAGTATAAGGCATTGTTGAAAATGCTTATTTATGGGACATATAAAGAAACTTTCTATATCCAATGTGACTTTCCTTTTCTCACAGAGCCTGCCCACTGATTGGACCCCCGGAGTGTCATTCCCCATGTCCTCTCTGTAAATCTTCCCCTGACGAACTTCACCTGGATATCTGTATTTTGTTTTATGTGAGCAATAAACTGATTGATTTGGATCACACTATGGAAAATTCACTGCTTTGTGGTCTTTCACTCTGTCTTGCAGGAAATTCATATCAGCAAACATTAAACTGTTTGATTGTTAACTTATGGATTTAAACTATTAAAGCAGTCCTGACTCCTGCCAAAAGTGTTTGAATGACTTCAGTACTTGAATATCAGATACAATTGTTTGTTGGACACAAATCAGTGTTTTCTCTGAGTGGTTGTTAAATTTCCACTCCAAATTTTCATTTGACATATTATAGAACACTGTTTTTATTCTAGACAAATGTTATGCCTTATGTTTAGTTAAGGTTAGTTAATGAAATGCAGTTCATGTTATTGATCAGTAGTTTGTGTTGAGGTACTGTCCATCAGATTTAAAACAATTGTGATGTCCTTTAACTCTTTCACAAGAGAACTCTTTCATCTTAAACATACAATTTGAAATGATACAATACAATATATATTAATTACTGGAAACTACTGAGTGAAAGTAACAATGTTGAACATCAGAAATAAGCGTATATATTACATGTTGCCATCATTGAACACCTGCAAATAACGCCATTCCTAAAATAAAATTACTTTAAAGCTTCCTAAGAAATAATGTGATTAATCGACAAGCTAAGGGCGTGTTATACCTAGCTGGTTTTCATCACTTGGAGACTTTAATGACTACACATGAATACATCCATAAGTCACTAAGCTCCACATTCCTGTCATTCCAGGTCTGCGCTTGCTATCATCTAACACAACAGCGCGACCTGCTTGAATTCGCCTCAGCCAGTTCGGGCTGTTTTGCTATACTTGTATTGCTTTTATTTTGGTGCTTTAAAAGCTATTACACCAATATACGACTACATTTAGAGGAATACGCGAGTTCTGATTTCGTTTTCTCCCATTCGCTTCGCGTATCGTAGTGTTTTACCTGGCTTCGGCTAGCAGGCTAACTAATTTAGCTGTCTGGCGAGTTAATCGATACTCTGCTGCTTTCACGCCGCAAGGATACGAGGAACGCCTCATGTGTCTTTTCTAAAAGATTATGGCATATATCTACACGTGACAAGTGAGTATAAGTAGTTTTATCCACCGCCGGTGTGTATTCTCAATGTTTGTTAACATTTACTGCAGAGAGATGTTTTTCTGTTCGTGCTAACTGGCTAACAGATGTGAGAACCGTGTTAAAATGAAAAGGGCGTAGATGTTAAAGACCTTCTTAAAACCAACGTCTTTAAATACTCTTAGTTTTTATTCAAAACACGATAACGTTACATATAAGCATAGTGAGGAGAGAATGAGTTACAGCGTCTCAGCTGGTGTGTAGAAACATCAAACATCTGCCGTTTCACAGACAGTTGTTATTCCAGTTTAGCGAGTCTTTTAAAGCTTCTCTTTAATTCTGGTCAGCTAAAGAAGATGTTGCTTGTAACGATAAAGCGTCTAATTAAAGTAAAAGAACAGGATGCACAGAGTCGTGGCCTGTTTGGCCTGTGTTTGTTGGTGTGGACATTCATGTGTCAGTGATAGTGCAAATGAAGTTGTCTTCCTGATGTACAGAGGGCTGTGATCTCGGGTTGGACCTTGTGGATGTTGTGGAACAGGCAAAGTGAAGCCGAAGACCAGATGTTCCTCTGACACAAGCAAAAATGATGCCCGTAAGTATTCATTCGAGTCAAAACAATGCATATGGCCTCTGTCAGATTATTTTTATGGTTCACATAGCGAGGCATCAGTTTGATTCTTATAGCTTTTGTGTTTATAGTATTTTTTGAAACAACCTACTCCATTTGGAAAGTATGTACAGTATCTTGGTTCGTAACACTAGTGTGAAAGTCTTTGATTTGTTCATTTCTGAGAGAGAGGTATTGTGAGCTGCCTAGAGCCTTGCCGGGGATCTATAATGGGGTTAATTTTCGGAAAGCTGTGGATGGGAATATCCACAGTGCAGATACACTTGTCTGTGCCTCATGCTGTGCTGTTTGTTGTTTCACTGATCATTTAGCTTTTTAAGTACAATTCCTCTGTTTGAGATGGCAAACAACGAGTTTTCATTACAGAACTGTTTCAAAACAGAACTTTATTGTGTGACAAGGCTTTTGTCAATCCTCTGTTGAAGAGCTCATTTTTTTTCTCCATGCACTAATGGCAACTATTAGTTTTATGATGCTGATGCGCTTTTGCTCGTTAAGAGAATGTTGTTGTTTTTTCAGCCTAATGGTGGCTTAATAGTTTCAGTAATGCTAAATCATTATTGACAGTTTTGTGTCCCTCCTTCAGATCTCAAAGGGTCTCGGTATTTGATGCTTGGCGACACTGAAAACATACAAATGCTGCAGTTGTTCATTCAAGTTGTTATTGCTCTTTTTTTTATTTCAGTTTTGAACACTATTCCATATTTGCAGGAACTAAAGCAGGGAAGGATGCACATCCATTTAAATATGAGAATTGTTTTTTTAGGCAACATTTTTGAATAAATAATTGTTTGCAAAGACTTCAGTACATCAGGTCTATTTTTTTTTAAAATTTGTTTTGTGCTTTTCAGAATCTGTTTTTTTTTTTCACAGAAAATCAGTGTGTTGTCATGAGCACTAAGACTCTGCAGGTGAATTGCTCTGAGATCACACATTAACTCTAAAGGAAGCTTTGTATCATTAAACATTAACCTTGTTTAGCACATTTAACCCACAACATTTTACGTTTATCAACAAAATAGTCTTTTACTGCCTTCTCTACAGATGTGGATCATCTAAATAATTATTAGGTTATCACAGTGCAAGTAATCACTAACTACCATGCTAACCTTATCTAGAAGAATCCTCATGGTATTCAGGTGCCAGGCAAATCTTATATGTGTAATTGGGGTAAACAGTGTCAAGTTTTGGAGGGCTTTAGCAGCCCCTACCTGTGTTTTTTTTTTAATTCACTGATAAATCAATATAAAATCATTACAAGTACCTAGTAACCCAAGCACCTTTTAAAATGTATGTGTATGCTCATATTTCCGTTTTCCTCTGTAATACGAGTCTAATGTGTCCCCAAACTGAATTTTTCAGCAGAAAGCAGATTGTTAGTCATGATTTACCGTCCTTTGAAGACATCTGATTAATATCCTGTTTTGCTGTAGTGTAGAAGGGATCTGATTGGTTCACTAAATAAAGTAAAATGTGATCGTACTGATATGGATTATAGAGAAAAAAAGGTGTGTTCCAGTCTGTCTTGTAGGTTTAAATGAATTTTTTATTTATTTGATGTAATATTGCCATTGTTGGGTGAGAGCCTAATCTCAGTATCCTAGTACCTGTCTGTAAAGTGAAAAGAGCACACACATTTTATTCAGCAGTAGCAGCAGATAGGAGGACTATGAGGTATACTTCATTTTTTATCTTATGTCTCAATTGGGCATGCAAGCCTTTCAAAGTATACTCTGAGTGTGAGAACATATGGATGATCTATTCTAGTGGACCATTCTTTTCAAGTGCTCAGTCACTTACCCAAAAATTGGGCTGTACGTGGAACTCGGACTGTCTGCAAGCTGGAGCAGAATGTGGAAAGACTTTGGGCTTCAGGGACAGCAACACTGTGATTTTGTGGGTGGTTTGTGATTATAACATTGTTTTAGCCAGAAGTTTAGTTTCTGCAACTATTGTGATGGTCTTGAACTGCACACATTGTCCCAGATCTTTTCCAAGATGTTTAAAAGGGAAACATGCAAGTTGCAACTGTATAAAGGTGAGGTTGCATTAGTGAAATTTGGACAAAATTTTGCAGACAAGAACGGTCCATTTTCATTACTGCAGTGATGCAAGAAACACACAGAAGTCACTTTCAAACCAAGCAGCACAGCGAGTTCACATAACAAACTTGAACTTGATGCAAAATCTAAGAGGGGGTATTTTTCGTCCTTACTCAAAACTCCCGTTCGCAAGGATTCCTATTGAAATGGCAGGATTTTTTTCTCAATTTTAGCTAACAATGGTAAACGTGACTCCGCCATAACAATGTAACATGAAAAGTCAACTGTTGGTGGTCTAAATTGACTTTTTTTTACAAGCTAGTTGTTAGAATGTTTGATTGGTTTGCTTTTAGCTTAATTGCAAAACAGCTTTTCGGTACCACACCATTCATTTTCCACTTATTGATTCAAACTATAGCCTTAATTGTATACTGTTGAAAGCATGATTTTCCGCAGCTGCTTTCAAACAAAGGATGTTAGGTTCAGTTTCCTGCTTGCTGAAGCCCCTACACCTTCTCCCTTTACTGATGTTGGCAATGTAAAAGTGTAGCTACAGCCTCTAAGCTGCCTGTGCTGCAATTGGCTGACAGCCATGGAAACAGCCAAACGAGGGGTAAACGACAAACTCACAGCAGGGTGTGGTTGAGTTCAACATAAGGTTAGAGCTGTGCATTACATTATGGTCTTATATTTTGTGAATTTACCTTTTGCCTCGTTGTATGTAAAACCATCTAGATTGCACCTCAGGGGCTACACAGGTGTGCATATAACTGCTACACAGAGTGAGTGATGAAGAACGGCATGTGCTTTTATTCTTTGGTTTCTCTAGAACACTAAAGACATCTTCAGTCTGCATAAATGAACTATGAGAAAGCTGTTTTTTCCATAGTCAGACTCTTAGAAACTGTATAGGACTCTTAGTTTAAGACTGTGTTGAAGATGCCATTTGCATCACAAGAGACCTCCTCCATGACCTAGATTACTGTATCCTGCTGGGAATGCAGATGCATGATGGGAAATGCCTACATATGTACTGCCTAGTGGCTATTTGTATCTAGAGAACTAGAGCAATGTGTAAGCCAAGAATCTGTGTAGATGAGAAGATCTAAGAGCATACTTCATCAAACCTCAGTAGAGGTCAAAGACACACAGACTCAAGAGACACATCCCCACACGCTCCTGTGGTGTATATAATAAAGCGCTTAATTTGTCTACTGTTTACTGAAGAGTGCCATACACTAGTGGTGCGCTGAAAACAGGGTCACTGATGCATTCAGAACCTGCGCCACAGTCTCTATGGATTGTCTAAGAGTGCTGGTTGGCCTTGTGGATAAGTGATGAGTTTGTTTACTCCCTTTGCCTGCCACACCAGTTAATAGCTCCTGTGGGTAAATTTAGCAAGCTCTGATACATCGGTGCAGTGCTAGATATTAATAAAGCAATATAGGGAACACACACACACACACACAGCAGCTCTGATGCTTTAGTTCGATCATGATATAAGGATTGGTAGAGGGATTTTCAGAGAGATAGAGTGCAGATCAGTAGCACCATTTTAACACTTAATAGTGCTCATTGATCTTGTTGTCAATTAGGGGTGTGTGATAGTCTGCGACAATATCGTAATTGTTTTAATGATGTGTGAGTGGACATTGTCACTGTCTATGAAAATAGTTCCAAACAAAGCGGAGCAGAACCATTGTGCATCTCAGCGCAACACAAAGCGGTGTTTTGTTACTGAATGAATCTGCAGTTTTTAACAAATCATTGAGTGGATGATTAAATGACCCATTCATCAAGACAGTCACGCTTCATTTCTGAATGTGTCAGCTGATTTGAATGAATCATTAGAATGAATGATTCAATGACTCGCTCATTATGACAGGGACTTGCCACTGTTTGCTAGTAGATTTAGTTTCATCTTTAAAAATATCATTCAGTATTTTATATTTTAATATTCAATTTGATTTTTAAAACATTAGTCTCATAGTATTATTTATGAACCTCTGAGCTGCATTAAACAGTTTGTGTAAATGCATCTAAATGATATTTCAAATGCAGTACAAATATGGCTTTTGTTGGCATTGGTTTCATTTGATAGGTAACATCCCTATATAATGTCTTATTATTTTAATATGATATAACAATAAATGTAAGAATTTGGCATAAAAGATGACACATACTTTTAAAAAGGTTAGAAAAAATTGCCCTTAGAAGAAAAAATGCCCCTGGAAATCAATTTGGGGGTGAGGTCGGGGGGAAATGGAAAAGTTAATTTCTCACACTTCTGTAAACTAATGATCACACAGAATATAAAAACAGAAAAACTTCCGGGAGTCATCTGTCCATGACAGGCCTAAACCAGCCAAGGTACCAACGCAAAGTAAAAAAAAAATATATATATATTTATTTTTTTCTTCTGTCAGTTTCACTCACCCTTATTGTAAATAGTACGTATAGTATGGTTGAACATAAGGGAGTGAAAATGGGTGTGTCTGATAGGAAAGGAATGAGGATAGTCTGTTATTGCAGCAGTATGGTGCATAATAAAAGATAAAATCCTTTAATGTCATCCTGCACTCATCTCTATTCTTTCAGGTATGACCGAACACCCTCTTCAGAGGAAATTCTTGTATTAAAAAAAAAATAGGTAACAAACAGTCTGAAATGAATTCTAGATAAATGAGCACTTTGTTTATAAACATGTTTCTCAATTTATTATGATTAGAAATATATTGTTAATATTTAAAATATTAAAAGATTTCTTTTTCTAGCCCCATAAACATTGTCTTTAATTATAGAGTAATTTAATTAAGGACAGTAATTTTTAAGGCTTATTTTGATCATTTGTAGTGCTGAGCTCCCCACCAGCATGAGGAAATAACTAACATACAGCAGACTGAGCAGTGTGGAAGTTTGCAA